AAAAAAAAAAAAAAAGGGATAAAGAAGCTAAAGATAAATATGCACGTTAGAGTTGCAGGTAAAGGATCAATTCCATGCAACAAACAAAAGATAAACAACTAATAAAATAAGGGCAAATGCTACGGTTACAGAACAATTCCGTCGGAGTTTGTAACCATTAAATCATCATGTAACTGTATGGGGATAGTAATATAACAATTATAAATTTCGACGGAGTGGTTTCGTAACGGGATCGTAGTATTTCCCTAAAATAATTACCAAAAGTGCTCTTTGAATGTTATCTAAACTAACTTCTATGATAAGAAAGCTTATGAGATGCCTTGATTTATTTATTTTGGTTTGATATATATTTTTGGTCTCTTTAACAAATCATTTTTTTTTTTCATAATTTTAAATACCGGGATCTTCCTTATCTATTCAAATATTATGAGTATCCATCCTATTTTTGTTTTTATTTTTTATTTTCTTCAAACGTCCTTACAAATTTGGCTTGTTTAATAATAATCACCATCATCAAAAGTTTTTGCCACTAATGTTAGGACTTAGGAGGCCAAAAAATTAAGTTGAAAAAAAATGTTATTATAAAATTAAAAAATAAAAAATAAAGAAAATCACACACACGAATGAGTTTAGAATAAAATTGAGTTATTATATATAACGGTTTCCGATTTCCACAAACTCCAAAGCCTTGGATCCCACGTTTTGTTGTGAAGTTTGTTAAAATTAGGACAGGTCTTTGCGTCACATAATATTCTAGCTTTTGGTCATGCTTTGCAATGATATTAAGGAAGGTCGTTGGCTTGTCACCTATCATGCTCATTCAGCCCACCTACACCATAGTACCACACATGACACAACCACAAAGGATATGCCTGGACATTAAAAAACGTTATCTGAAGAGTCTTTCACATAATACTTTTTTTATGCTAAGCGTTATGTGAAGAGCCTTTCACATAACACTCTTTTATGCTACGCGTTATGTGAAGAGTCTTTCACATAACGCTTTTTCATATTAAGTGTTATTTATAATATAATCAGAAGAACATTTTTTAACAAAAGTGTTATCTGAAATGATGATAATACATAACAATTTTTTAAACAATCGTTATCTGTGTATACTTTTTTAATATATATATATATATATATATATATATATATATATA